GGGGGGGGGGGCATGTGTAAGCAGTCTGCACGAGGGGAAAGTAATAGTACGCTGTGTTTTCTTTGCCTGCAGTAGCTCTCTGGCGTCAGCTGCGGCTTGGCTGATGAGCATGTGTGAGCTCAAAGATGAAAAAGAAGAATCACATAGTTCGGGAGACGAATTATGATACAAACCAGCGGTAGGAACAAAAAAAAAAAGGAGCTGCATAACTGATTGGCACTGTCAGCGGCATGGAGCTACGCAAGTTGTTGAACAGCTTTAAAGCGACTGTGGTGGGGCACAGTTCAGTGGCAGTCAACAGGCTTATCTTGATGGATTCCGTGATACTGAGTGAAGTGTCATTAACTGCAGTCTGTCAACAATAGTCAGAGTTAGAACATCAATAGTGACAGACAATATAGCCCTCGGGTTATTAGGCAGTCTATAAATCATGTTAAAAATCTCATGAATCTCATCATGTGTGCATTTATAGTAACTATACCTAATTAAGTATAAGTAAGTAACTTTCACTTTTTGGGAAATACTATTTCATGAGTTTGACTGTGTCTCTCTCAGCAGTGTAACCGATGCCCAGATTTAAGTACCCACTAGAGTTTAAGCATGAATGAGGTCAGATCTTTATATCATAAAGATCTATACTCGTTCTCTGTTCACTTGCCAAAATAAACCCTGTAGTTCTGCTTTTTTTCAACAGAAGCTCAAATCCATATTTGTCACCGGGCTAAATAAGTTTGCAGAGTGTTTAAACTTCGTCTATTAATGCTACCGTGTCAAAAAAGGAGTACTCAATCTAGAAAACATTTGAAGAAGTTGCCTTCACTTTGCATTTTCTTTGGAAAAGTACGATTATACATTATAGAGTTCCTACATCTGGCCCTGCGACACTGCACGCACTGAGCAGCCGCAACAGGTCTGCAGAGAGCATTAGAGAAAAAGCACATCTTGCGCTCAGATTTATGAGTGGCCTGCGCCTCGCTCGTGTATTTCATAGAAAATGACAATTTCTTGTGTCCTTGTAAACACACAGATGCTGCTTTTTACATTTGCACAAACTGACTTGTTGCCAGTGTATTTTGTTTTGCTTTTTCCTCCATTAAAAAAAGAAATAAATCAGAGGTATCAAGATCAGGAGCGTTCAGTGCAGGGTACAAATTCCACTCCTGTTTCCTCCTGGTTTCTTGTGTTTGCTCAAGCTTCGGTGTGGCACAGAACTGTAAAAAGCCGGAGCCTATTTGTCGGTGCTGCTGCTGATATAATAAATGACATGAGTGGCTTTTGTAGCTGAGTTCTCTACGTAATGCCAGCTGCTATAATGTTTACTACTAGTGGTTTGGCCCAGGAGTCAGGCTACATCTTGGCATGTTGAGAATACTTTTTTTTTTTCTTAGAACTCGCCATAAAAGATTTACACTTAAAAGACAGACCAAAAGTTAACAGGTATAAATAAACTCATCCGAGGCTTTCCAAGCGCTGGGCTTAGCCTTGTCATATTTGTTTGTCTAGACATCAGGGACGCTACCACTGGGGGAAAAAGGGGGAGCCTGAAGCAGATGTTAATATGGACGTAGACACTAATAAGATGCGTAAACTCAGAAAAGTGTTGCTTTTCTGGGTGAATCTTTGTAATACACAAAACTCAAGGCTACAAACCCAAGCACTTCCCTCGTAGCTGCACAGTTAATCCTCTCCTTTTACAACGTATAATTCATGTTTGACATATCCGGAGAAATGTGCACACTGGCATTTTGAGTTCCCTACACTATTATTAAGTATTTTCTACGTTTTTCTATGAGCCATAACTTGAATCGGGCTGCTTTTAATAGCCGTAAATGCTCATTTGTGTGCGCTGTGTTGATACAAGTTTATTACTCAGCCGTAATAAACTGCAGCATGAGTGGCAGTTACCACATTCGCAGACGTGGTTACCAGTCATCTCTTGATTTTTTTTCTTTCTTTGTCTAACATGAATGAGTATGCTGTTAAATGAAGAAGTCTGTGGTTAATGAAGCCCAATTTGTGAATGGCTGCGGTCAGTTCCATACTTTGTTATGAGCACACATACACAAATCGTACGCACTTCCCCACTTCTCCTTTTCCTTTGATAGTACATACACCCATGGAAATGCATACTTGTGTACTCATAAAGGAGAACTGCTTGGAGCTATCTTAGGCATGTCTGGACACCGCTGTATGTTTAGCTGCTTTTTTTCCCCCCAGAGATTCCCCTTATGAACAGGAAGTAGCATAAATGTCTGGCTTGTAAGCCAAAGAAGCAAGGCTGTCATTGTCACAAGGCCATTGACTAAGTTTGAGTGTTTGTAGAAAATCAGGAAGAAGCAGTGTGAGGCCGGCACTTTATCACTGTTGTTTACTCGCTATTCTGGACAATGATCTTTCTAGCCATATGTCTCTGGTACCATTGTTGCTGTGCTATCATAAGTGGGATTAATACACCACTTAAAATGATTGCTACCTACTTAGTGCTGCACATCTTGAAAGTCAATTTATGAGACTATATTGCTTTTAAGAAAAGACAACAGAAACTCCAATGGGAAGGGGGGGAATTTTTAAACTATGATAATGTTCTTCTTCTTTGTTATTGTCTAGATTGAATGTGGCTCTATGGGGCTGAAATATGTGAACTGTGTTTTGCTAGCTAATGATCTATTACTGCGCTCCGTCAGTGCTGTTTTCTCTGCGACTACTTTTGCTGACGGTGAAAGTTGTGATAAGAGCCCCGCCACGGGTACTGTATCTTACCCACATGTGTGGCTAATTCAAAACCTGTGGCCAATAACAATTTCTATAGGTCAAAGGCGCACGGCCTATGAGACAATTTTCCTACACAGATAATAACACAGGCAAGACATCTGACGAGAGCCATATTGTCAGTTTCAAACAAAACAGTATGATGCAAGCGCTGCCCTTTTTTTTAATTTTACTTTTTCTATCCTCAACCAAAATGTGTATCCATTCAGTTTTGTTGCAATCCCAGTAATGGTTATGGGATTATGAGGGCGGATGGTTTCATTTTTCTAGCCTATGACTGTCACATCGAGGACCATTACCGTGATTTAAACACAAGCGTATATGCCAAGGCCATTTTTACTGCAGGGCTC